ATATATTCTGAGTGGTATGGATCTATAAATGTACGAACATCATAATGATCACATAAGCTAATAAAAGTGTTGCACATGGCCGGTACGGAACAGTAAGAAAGTCAGATCCTCTCAAAGCCACCCGATGTTTCGCTTCAACGACTTTGAACGGCCTCACAAGAGGCGGTCATTCCGCATTGCAATTGCTGTGGGTTTATTGGCTGTCCGTTGGTTTGCACGAATATCAAGTGTTCTCATATTTAAGTGGTCGTTTGCTGCAGAAAAACCACAAAATCACGGCGGAGAACATTGATTTAGCTTTCTCCGTCTTGTAGTGCACACGTTGGGTCGACTATTGTTTTGTAACTTTTCAATCTCCCCAATTTCGGGGAAACGTTCGTCCGGTTTGCGTGAATTTTCGGGATAATCTTGGTCGGGGGTGTCCTGTTCTGTTTGTCTGGAAGCAGAACGAATTGCAAGCAGATGTAACCTGAAGCGTGAATAAATTGTGATATGCCGGTGTCCTTGCCGTCATGCTACTGGCATACATAAAATAACGGACTCTTACAAGTAAGGTCGATCAATTACGAAATATAAACTGTACAGTTCATAATATTCTGAGACACTGCAGTCGATAGAAGATAGATAACACCCACACGTTCCATAATAACAACAATTACACCACCCGGACGAAGCAAACAGCATGTACAGACTTAACGAAGCCAATTTTTACTTAAGAATCGTCAATAAATAGGTAAGACTGTAGTCTCTCCAATACTTGTCTTTTTTTAGTATTCATTACGATAAAAAATATGGGTTGGAATACAACAAAGTGTGGAGAAGTGACAGAAACTGTTTGCTATAAGTTCTTTGTAGTAGTATTTTTCAACTTGCAAACTGGTTTTTCTGCATCAAGTATTTCTCTTCCTGTACCGGTAGTAATGATGCATCAATAAACTTATGCCCAATATTTATTTTCGTCTTCTTCGTAGTTTCATGGAGAGATACACCAATAATCTCAGCGGGTAACTGTTTGTAAAAATTAGAAACAACTACGTGTTTGCTTTATAAGTACCCGCTTCGTTAGGAAAACTTGTAGTACTGCGTCAGTTTAGAAGTTTCGCTATATTGTTGTGTTGTATATATAAGTTTCTTCACTATGACAGTGTATTCGGATGGATACTTGTAGAGGCATTGTTTCCCAACCACACAGTCTTCGAAGCCAAGCATATAATGACTAAAAAGACGCATATTCGACATGTAAGACTTAGAGAGGGTCGGCTGTGAAGACATTCATTCAATCGGATGGCATGGCTCAGCCTTGCAGGTGTTCATTAGGTGTCACTTATTACCATTCACGTAAAATGTATCATTCTATCCCGAACACAAATATATTCTTGGGAAGTGCTAAGTATCATTGTCAATTGTAACGATACGATGAGTCAGTGTAGACAGCGATGCGACTTCCACGTAAGGTCTTACAGATTAAACAATCACATGACAAATTCCCTGTTTTGGATAAGGTCTATTATCAAAGTAGTATTAGTAACGAACTAGACAATAGTCATACATAATAACATTTATAATGTAAAAGACTGTATAGTTGTTATTTTATATTTAAATAATTTATTAGATGAATGAACGTGGCAGTAGCCAATATAAAACACAGTTATCGTCAACTTGTAAATTGTTACTCCACATAACCTCCCATATTCAGAAATTAGCTAAGTTGTTCGCCAGGCATAGACATGAGTATTACAAAGGTTTGAGCCCTTCACTTCGTTGATAGAAGACATATGTTGCATGTCAGAAAACGTATGAGGACTTTCTCAGCCTAAGAAAATCCTGCAAAATAGCAAATAAATCGTGAAACAAACGATCAAACTTCGTTATCAGCATCAAATTCAATAAGAAAATGAAATAGCAGCTAACAGGATGTACCTATAAGTGTCTTACTTGTTATAATTAATGTTCTTCATTTATTAACCTTTCTAGATATCACTCGTCAACATGCATTAGAACTTTGTCTATAATTTGGTCAGTGATTGCGGATTCTGTTTACAAAATTTTATTCGTAAACCCTATTAGAGACACATCATGAATTAGTTTTAACTACGACATGGTTTAGTTACCATGCTCGAAACAAACGAGACTAATTGATGTGGCAGTTACAGTAATGCTGTACACAGTTCCTGTATATGTTCATAAAACGGGCAGAAAATGTTATCAACGTCTACTGTTACTCATATAATTTATCTCAGACACGTTACATAACAACAAGTCAGTCGAGTCGAAAAAGATTATACTTAGGATGGATAGAACTGTTTATGGCTGTATATTAACAAGTCACACAACTTTCATAAATGGTTCAACACTTATTTGTCTCAACCTACATTCCATAAACAACTGCACAAGAAATGTTCATCACCGTCATAATTAGGGAGGTGAATCGAGTGTATAGGGTCCTGGAGCTCATTTTTGCATAAAACTCTGATTGTGGTGTATTTTTAACTTGATAAACGGTGAATTTCACTTGTTTGAATTTGCATTGTTACAAATAACCACAATAAGCTGACCAAAAATTGACCGAGGTTGTGAGCAACAAATATGTCAAACTACTAATAAACTGGAATAAGAGATGCGTAATAAGCACAAGCATTACGAAAATTGACGTCAGACGGAAAAAAAATAATGTTAATGGCTGGTAAACAACGACATCAAAAATCCTCGACAACACGTAACATGTGCGCGAACACCCGTAGTTTGACTTCCTGACCGTCCAGCTTCGAAAACTACGTGCTATTTCGTCTTCCCGGTCTAAAACCTTTGTGTATACATAAACAAACGAATGCACTAGAAAATGTGGTAGACAACCAAGGTTCGAGGATACTTGTGTTCTTATCTTCATCAGTGAAATAATTCTAAAGATGGCAGGAAAGGAATATTCTTTGGATTATAGTCAGAGCTATCGTTGTATCTAACATTTAACATGACTAGTCGGACGAAGAGGCATAAAGTGGTAAGTAGACCCTCCAAACAAAATTTTATGCGATCCCCCGACACTACTGCTAACTTTACTGGTCTTACTGAACAAAACCAAAATGAATTTGCCCGGCCAAGCATCTGCATCAACATCGAATATGCTGTGCTGCATGTAAATCGTTTAAGTAATTGAACTGTGTGAACGTTTTGAGGCCTAGATGAGTTCGATGTGAATAGACTGACCAACTAACTTATACCGAATTCCTGACAAATATCCAAAGTTGATCACATCTCGTCGTATTCAGACTCTGACTCTACAACACGAACTACATTATTTCAGAAATGCATTGGTAAGAGAAAGTAGAGGAAAACGGTGTGACCACTACTAGATAAGTTAGTTTATGTAGTGTTGTTGAATAATGGACAATCTTCCAAATATATCCTCGAATGCTCTCATTCCTGATTTCTTTTTTCAATTTGCTTGATGTCTCGATTAGAAGGGTTTATCGGCAGCAGCACTATTGAGCTATGAATATCCATCAGATGCTTTAAGGTTTTGGATGGGTCTTATTGAACACTAAGTACCTGTGAAATTTTGTTTGTGCTCGTTCAGCTAACCGTGTTCTCTACTACATTTAACACCAATGTTAAAGCCCTTGAAATCTTTGACTAATTGATTTTCTTGTTCAGAGTTTATTGCTAATGGTTGGGTGTTAAATCTACTTATGGTACATAATCTAGATGCTTAATCACCCTCACTTATTAACTCGTGCTATAGACAAAGGAATTCGACTAACAATGCCAACATAAGACACATTATGTTAGCACCACATGCATCTACAGTGGTATCAAGCTAAATGACGCTTGCTATAGACTTCGGACTCACTGATATGATTGAAGATTCCACAGGTATTTGGAGTTTAAATGCTCTTTAACCAGTAGCACCTTCTAATATGAATCGTACCCACCAAGTGAAATCAAAATACAGAAGCGAGGAGGTTCGAAGTTGTATTTGATAGGCTATCAATATATCGAGGATCGTCTGATATGATCTTTCTAGCGATTGCAGTAGATGTTGAGCATGGCGTTCCCACACGTGATCTGGTGCGGATGCATGACCAAGCGCCTTCAGCTAGATGAGTCCATTATAACTAATGTGGTCAGCATCCAATGTCGAAGACTTACAGAGCTATTTACTTTAAAGATTCATTTATCTCTACATGATCTTTGGCTCCGGAAGAAGTAGCAGGAAGTTTACTTATACCGAATATCATTGAAAGGGATTTTTTCACAACCGATTTCTTGACTTTGTGATGTCATCGGTTCGTTTTCTGGCCCAATAAATTTTAAAGCATGAAATCTATTATCAACTTGGTATTGTTTTGATTATATCTTCCCATTGAGGTTTAAGTGTGGCGCATATATATTTGGTGCCCCCTGTACCAATATTCATGTGTTCAAATAAATAAATAAAATAAATTGAGGTTTAAGACTTCAATCGATCTGTCTGTTATTGCATATGTGCATACTGTGCGCATGCCTCGATATTGCCATAATTCACAGGCTTTTATAAGCAAGTTGGATATTGGCTAGCAGTGGAATAACAGAATGATCGGTTGAATTCTTAAACCTCAATGGTAAGATACAAGCCAAACAATAACAAGTGAATTTAAATCCACCACATTGCACAAGCTAGTGGCTATCAGGACTCGGTAGCTGAGTCAAAAACGGTACTCGATTCAAGTTCCGGAGTAAACATCAGCTCTGAGATGCAGTTACATCCGGCTGATAAGTCCCAACTAGGACGAAACGCGCGTCTTGAATCCTACTGCTAGCTACTATCCATCTTTGCTTGTAAAATCTTATGATAAAACAGTTTTAGTTACCGTTATATTTTTAAGTGGAGGAAAACGGAAAGTATCGTTATTAATTATTCGGAAAATAGTCAGAACAACTTTTCAATTATTATTTCATTTACGTAAGTTCAGATTCTATTGGACGTTGTAAAACTGGTCGCTATTTTGATTTCCGTCGAGTCTATGGCTCGTGCGTCGCATCGCAGTGGGCCCCTGAAACAGCAGAATAAAAAGCATAAAGGAGCCAGGAAATCTTCAGATAAAAACTCAAAGCCATACCGCGTAACAAAAAACAAGGTATTATGCCAGTCTTATTGAGTCAGCGTACAAATTATTTTGTCACTAATAAGAATTATTTTTAGTAATAATTAGTACTAGACTCAGTGATAATGCCACAGAATTTGTGTCATTCTTGAATATTTGGTAATTCAAAAGACGCCCTGCGTTCTGTTACGATTTTTGATACTTAAAACTATTGTAAATAGGGCACGTAAGCAGTTTTCTCAGAGGTATAATGACTGCCACGAAGTAAACGTGTTAGCGCAGGTTTTCACGATGTAAACATTACTACCCTTAGGTGGTTTATCATTCTGAAGATAGTACCTCAACATGAATATAATTTGATTTACAGGTATTGTAAAAGTTTACACAGATCAAAAATCGATATAATGTTCTTGGTGATAAAAGTAGTTTACATACAAATAATAATTACCAAATGAATGATGGACAACAAACAACCACTGCTAATCAATTCTACCCAACTCAATTTGCCTCGAGTCAGGTTTCTTATTTTTATGTGATAACACTAATTTTGCTGATGTTTTACATATAGAGATCTGAAAGTCAATACTGTATCATGACGAACAATCGAAACCAGCATGTTTTTCTATCTACTTAAAGGCGTTGTAGTAATAGGATCAAACATTTGTTTGGGGTTTGGTCGAATAAGAGTAGTACTGCCATGGAACCGCAAATTCAGTCATTAATTTGGTCGATTGTCTGTTATTAGGTTCTTCAAATTTTCAAAATATGTGTTCTTTATATGGTTTCGCGAGCATTGTTTTGAGGCTTTTTTCTGACTTCATCATTTTTATATTGAATTTTGTCTTCTGATTTACTGCCAAATTAATCCGTCCATTTTCTCACTTAAAACTGGACGACCTTAGAGATTATTTTCATATACCATCGCACAATGGTAAAGAACGGTTCATACATCTATCATAAAATTTTTAGGTACGAGATCGACCCCTCAAAGTCTTGGAAACTAAATTAATGCTTTTTTAAGTACATATCACAAAGATAAAAAAAACTAGACAGTAGATATTTTTTCTAGATGTACTTGTTTGGTATTTTCCCCTAACTTATAATTTTCTTTGCTTTTACTCACATGATTGTGTCTGAAATGTTTATGAATATCAGTTAATTATATGCAGTTTGAGTAGTGTTATATACATACTGGACGTACCTCTCAGCAAGATGTACATGACTTCATTTGACAAAATTTAATGTATTTAGAAGACCGCTCGAATCTGTGTTCAAGAATTTTCAGCGTATTTATTACTGGTGCTTAGATTTAATAGACGAATGTTATTCCCAAACTTAGTAAATCTAATTCTTATATTGTCATCACAAAAGAACTCTCTATAATAAATCAAAACAATCAACAGTGGAAATCAACCCTGATAAATGTAAGTTAATGTAGATGATGCTGAAGTCCAAAATTACATTGTGTTTAATAGATTCACAATGTTAAAGCACCAGCTTCATGTGGTTCGTCTAAATTCATTTAAATTTTTGTTTACCATTGTAGATACTGAATAAAAACCAACGGCGCTTGCTCTCCAAGCAACTCCGCATACAAAAGAGATTAGAGGTTTGTTACAAAGCTTTACTTCTTATTGTCATAGGTGAAAAATCTTGAAGCATCTCGTGGGACTAAGGGAAATCCTATAGCTTGCGTTTTGATTCCTTTATCGTCCTCAGTACCTACACATTTAGCCCAACTTTTATTTCAAACATGTGAACCAAATGCTGAGGTTATAAAAAGGCCAGAATGTTTGCAAAATGTAGTCACTATTCACTCTCAAATCCTAAATAAATACTTTAATCTCATTTGTGCTTACAGTGATGATCTCTTTGGTTGTCTTGATCTCGCGAATTTCGCAGACTGGCTTATTCTTTTAGTCCCAAGTAATCCCTCAGAGATTCCTGACTCTGTTCACGAGTTACTCACTGCCATATATGCTCAAGGTTTTACAAATGCTTCCTATGCAGTTCTTTCTTCCAGTTCAAATCTTAAAGAGTTAAAACAGATTCTGGAGGTAATTTTGGTTGCCTGTTTTTTATTAAAAATTAACATGCTATACATTCGTCTTAAAGTTTTGGAAGAATTTTGAGTTGACTTTTGTTAAACACCAAACTTTGTCGATTAATAAAAACAAGGAGTCTTCATTATTATATACATTTATTGCATTGCTATAGTTATGTACGTGTTCACACAAGAAAGTAAACTATTGTGTTGGTTGCACAAACTGAACCTACGACCAGACTTTTGACTGAATTATTTTCGACTTATTTGTCTGATAACTATGTAGACCATCAAGCATTCTTTTTAAAGTATGTAGAACTATTTCCTGCGAGGTACGCATAATCCCGCTTCTATGCGGCAAAGCGACCGTCTATACTAACAGTATTCTTGTTGGAAACTATCTACGTAGATTCAGATTGTATTGAACTGTTTTCAAGCAATTTATACGTGAAACTGCACTCAGTAATTTTGTTCATTAAGCATCATTTTTTGACTGCATCCAATTATCTAAGTGTAACTGTCTGGCCTTCGTAAATTCTAATTTCATTCTGTGATGTTATAGGATGTTTTTTATTTTGACTAATAGTGTAGGTTTCCAGTCCCCGAATCGACGATTCACCAACTAAATTCAAGCGCCAATGCTCTAAACCTCCTACGGCATATTGCCTCAACCAATCCGTCGAGTTTCCATGTTAAGGGAAAACATGCAAAATTGGCTGGACAGTCTACAGTAATGCATACTGGAGCACGCTACCGAACACGCTTACTTGTTGACTCTATTGAACTAATCTCTGAAAACAGTAAGTTTTTATTTCAGTCGTAAGTTAGTTTTTACTTACAGTTCGTCAGGTGTGTCTTATGCAAGCCACCCAAAGTACAAATTATTTGATCATGTAGTTATTTTAACTGTTTTATTGTCAAAGTGATTTTTGACTTCGGTTCCTTCAGAAAGCTACAACATGTGACGTAATTTGATTAAAGTGGCGTCCGTCATCTTCAATATTCCCAATGTATTTGATTAGTTACATATATCCACTCTTAAATAAATAACTGCTTCGATTTACTAATGATTTATGGCATGCTTTCAATCGTTTCTACCGTTCACTTTCTGAACCAACTACATTTTTTGATTAGATTTCAGTTACTAGATCATTTATGTAAATTCTGTCTGCTTATTTTAAACAGAACAGTAGGATTATTCAAATATATTTTCTGATGAACAATCCATTGCTTATGGCTGTTTCAATAATTATTATTTTCTATTAAACTATGGGGTGACCCAATAAATTCTTCAACTTGTACACAAGGTTCAGAGAATAAACAGTACTTTCATTCAAACTCTTGCAAAATGTAGATGCTCATGACGATATCACAAAATCCGAGGTATCAGTCTGTCTTCGTGGCCGCCTACATGGAGCACCATTGATTTTGTTCGAGGAGTTAGAGCAAAATGGTTCTGCACTTGTTGGTCCTCGTGTACATTTGACTGGTTGGGGTGATTTTCCTTTGATAGAGGCTAAATGGATTGATAACTATCACTTACAACAGACGTGGCAGATTTCAGATCTTAACACCGTTGAAAATATATCAACAAGACATGTACTTCCATCTACGTCAGTTAATCTCACAAACGGTAAGTTTAAAAGCATGTTTGCCAAAAGTTTTGTTTAAATAGCCTCTCTTCTGTCTAAACTAAGTAATTAGTATATGTACATTGTTAGATTAATTCATCCGCAAGGACTTCCTACGAGTTCTTAAACATTCAAACGTTTCTTTTTCAATCCAGTGTAATGATACTTGATATTAGTATTGGTTTTAACGTCCCGACACCAATAACATTTAATCAATTAACTGTAGTGCCATGTGCGCTGACGATCGGTAACCCACGTTAAATTCGTCCTCTACCAATCTTGTAATCGGAACACCAGAAGAGTTAAGTCGCTACTTCGTATAGTTTAGATCCACCACCAACGTGATTATGTATTTCGAGTGTTGGAGCAGTAAACAAACATTATTAGATCATTTTTGACATGGAGTGGATTTCTACATTCATGGTTGATTTGCCTTCTGTTTACGACCAGTCAGTCAGTCCAGTAAAAATTAGCAAAAATAAATGGGTCAAAAGACAACTTACAATTAAAGCCATATAGAAGAAATACCATAAAACTACTTGTTCCCTAGACACAAATAAAATCCATACCAGTAAATTCGTCCAGAAGTACATGAGTTTCATATTTTCCTTTACACTACAATCTTGCTAAGGGTCAAAAGTACTAAAGTTATATGTTTCTACAATATTTCCACTTTCAAATGTTCTTCCGATAACAAGTCTTACTCCTTTTCCATTCTTGATTTGTCCGATAGCTATGCCGATTTCTTAGATTGTTGGTGTAGTGACATCTATAGAAAGGTCTGTAGATACTGCTTTTATTTACGGTGGATTCTGTGAGACTGGCCTACCTGAGAATTCATCATTTTAATCCACCCACCTGTTCCACTGTTCTTGAATCAATGGATGGTTTGCCTTCTTTCTTGAATGGTCCCCTTCGTTGTACCATTTAGTGATATGTGTTAGTGATAACAAAATATGATTGGTCACTGAGCGTGGACAACCAGACACTCAGAGTACTGACTATTAAACATGTGATTTACGTTCCTCTCAATGATTTCTACTCTGGTCTCACTGAGTGGGATTTATAGTAACTGTGTTGAATTGAGTGTTATCTAGCGTTAACCTGGTTCTATATTCTGGGTCGTGAATTCTTGATCTGATATGACGTGACTAGTCTCATTATCGTATAGCGTATTATCGTAGTACACTTAAGAGGGGAATATTTTAAATCATGCTTTGTATCATACAGTTGTCTCATATTTCCTTAACTTGCAGCTTTTTCCAGTCAGTCAGCTACAACGTAGGACCAGGCACATATGTGCATCGGTCCAAGTTGCCACACCTTAATAGCATTGCAAGACGAACACCGGATTCATAGAAGTAGTGGTAGTAATACATAAAAGAAAGATTGCATATAAGGACATAGTACAGGAAGAGAGAATTAGTTCGTAGAAAAAAAGATATGAAGCGATTTTGATCTCTTAGTGTAAGGTAAGACAGAGAGTGTATACACCTACGCCATTGTGATTGGTTCTGAACCATGTGACCCAGGGTCTTCAACCATTGGTTGCGATAGTCGCACGGACCCCAACCAAACAGTCTAAATCTGCCAACATGGCTAAGTCTAGAAGTTAGCGACTTCAAGGACTGATGCCACGTTTCGGTTTGGCCTCCCCCAACTTTCTTCCATCCACCCTCAACACCAGTTAGCATTGCGCGTTGTGATAATCGATGTTCAGGTATACGCAACACGTGGCCCAACCATCTCAGTCGATAAAGTTTCACAACCACATCAACTGATTTACCACCATTCCCTAATACCCTACCTCTAACCTCACTACTATTTACCCGGTGATCCCAGCAATGTTTCTAAGGCATATGTGGTCAAATACTAGTAGCTTACGAATATCTTCAAATCTTAACGGCCACGTTTTGCATCTGTAAAGTAATACAGAACAAACTGCCGCGCAGTTTATTCGTCCTCTTATTGATAGACGGACATCTCGCCTTCGTCATAGGTGACGTAAGTTGGTAAAAGCCTAACGAGCTTTTCTAATCGGTGGTAAGATTTCGTCAGATATCAACCCATTAGGGCTGATCAGACTTCCAAGATAAGTGAATTTGTCGACGCGTTCGACTACAACCGGAAATGATAATCGCCCTCATACCTCTAACAACATCAAGACTACTACTATTCATAATCAACCTCTTTCTTCAGATCCTATTATTCCTCCTACAGCGACCTGTACCATTAAATTTCCTCTTTTCGCTTCCTCCTCAAGTGTCACCATGGCCAACGATTCTAGTGCGCAAAACACTCTCAGGTCTACTGAAATCTCGCTCCTAACTGCACATTGGAGCCCTCAACGTACGCACCCTATGTCAAATCGACCAGTGGGCCTCCTTGGCTGAGAATCTCTAACCATTGATGTATACTACCTCCGAAACACGCATACAGGATTCTAGTGTGGTCATTCACCCCGACAAAATACACCCTCCGTGTATCTGGCGACCCGATGTAGGTATAGCACTAAGTACGAGAGCAGAACAAGCACTATTACAGTGGGTCCCTGTTTACAGTCGTCTATGTGCTGTTCAACTAAACGGCTCCGTAAGGATTCGTATAGGTATGGACACTCGTTGCCTTTTCGTCGTTTCTGCCTACGCTCCCAATGACTGCAGCCCAGAAAGCTAAACGTTCAGACATAGTGCTCGTAGCAGGTGACTTTAATGCCCAGGTAGGGAGCTTAAATCAAACAGAAGGACATTTAGGTGGGTGTTTTGGTATTCCGGCTCTGCGAACAGATAATAGTGATTGTCTGCTGCAATTGCGCTCAAACAATCGTTTATTTTTAGCAAACACAAATTTTAAACATAAGGAGAGACATCGCATAACATGGCAACCCTCTGCACCAAACCAACGCTGGACTCAAATAGACCATATTGCCATCAGTCATCGTTGAAGAGGGTCGACAGAAGATTGTCGCTCATTCTGGAACACCTGCTTGAACTCCGATCATGCTTTAATACGGGCACGCATCTGCTTGCGCCTCACTGGACGCAGGAAAGCCTCATGAGAAAGGCCTATTAGAATTGAATTGAGTGATGAGAAACCGTAAGTAGTTTCCAGGAACAACTGAGGTCACACTTAGGTAGTTCTGAAAACGAGGCTGACCCAGATGTTGCTTGGAAAGTTGTACAAGCAACTGTGGAAACCAGTGACATCTATTAGTGATCTAAACCAAAGAGTTACAAAGAACCAATGGATTTCGTCAATGTCTATTGCACTGATGGATTCTCGTAATCTCATCCCATCAGGCTCTGAATACGATGAAAAGCGTAAACAACTCAGATCTAGGTTAAGCAAAAGTCTAAGGAACGACCGTGAGCAGTGGTGTGGGCATCGAAAGCAAAAGAGATGGAAAAGGCGGTGGCTATAGGAAACACAAGATAGCTCTTCAGACTCATAAAAGAAACTGGAACTAAAAAGTCAAATGTGAGACTATTTCGGAAAAAGACGACACTTATCTGCTCCCATAGCTCTTTGTCAAGATTTGTGACCGACAGTAACTTTAGAATGGCTACAGACTGAGTGTTTTATTCAGTTATATTTAATGTCTTTTTAAACTTGATATTATTAGAGTGAAATTTGATCAAACTACTTGTGTTTTACGTTTTTAATTTTTCGGATTCAATGTTATGCCGTTTTACACCACGTCTTAAATTTTCGTAAACTTTTGTAATATTGAACCGTGGTTCCATCGTTCTTAAAGTTTATCGCATCCCCATATCCTCTCGTTGCTGATATTTATCTTAGAGAATGAAGATTGTGAGGAGGACTTTCTGTCAGATGAAATGTCTGTTGATGATTCACATGAATCAACAAGTGAAAACCAATGGAATGCAACGGAAGAGATATCTGATCACTTAGAATCTGAGTTATCTGGAAATTCTGATATAGAGTGTGCTTCGATAGCAAGTCATACCGCTCATACAATGGCAGCCAGCGCTACCTCTACGTTCTCATCTGCTCAGTTAGCCAAATTCCGGGCTGCCAGAATGGAAGAAATGTTTCCGGATGAGGTAATGTTTCCTTATTTTAAGCTGTGACGTACTTCTAACACTAGTAAATTGCTAGCAACTAGTTATAATAAAAACTTAAAAATCATATCAGGAATCTAACGATTCGTCAACAATCCATCTACCCGATCGGTCATTTTTAGTAACCTACTCCATATCATATATTATTGACAGCTAAAGCGAACTGGTTATGTACATCATGTCCGGCTATTAGCAGTTTAAACTTGTTATCACTCCTACTCAATGGTCAGTTACGAGTTTCTGTCGCAAACCTTAGGCTGCACACTTAGCACTATTGTTGGAAACACAACTGAGTGTTAAAACGATCAAAATGGAGTAATGTCAAAACCTGATACCTCATATTTGAAAACCACCACTACTTTACTTTGAACGTTTACAAAAAACAACACAATAATAATTTCTAGTTAGATTTCACTTAACGATGGAATGCGTCACGCTATAAGAATATAGCAGGATCTTACCAATCTATTTGATATCTCTTCAGCCGCTCACAGCGGTCATAATTAGTGTGTAAAAGATTTCAAAGGTCTATATATGTAATCAAGTTAGTCAATTATTATTATTTCTAATAAGTTAACCCAATTTCCTGTGCTAAGCAGCTTCATTAAATTAGTGAGTCATCTCACAAATTAAATTGGTTCAATTAGGAAGCCACTTGATTTTCTGATTACTCGTATGTGATTGGTAGTGAAGTGAACGAACGCTCACGTGGGGGGGGGAAACAAACTTTTTAATAGGAAAACACAAAGTTGTTTCGTAAAATGTGAAAACCATATAATAAGTACTTAATTTCTAAATCATCCGTCAATTGTCTAAAACTCCATCGTTCCTTCATTGTTATTACAATCACTCTATGTTCCTGTTCTCTTCGATCCAATCTTCTTAAACTTCTGCTGCCACGCCTTCCACATGTGGTTAGTGTTACATACTACTTATGTCTGTCTACATAAGTAGCATACACTACAGTAGAGCATAAAAGTCAATGAGATTACTCGGACATCAGTCTTAACGGTACACGCAATTCTACTTCATTAGTCCAAATGCGAAACTTTTACAGAAAACAAAAAAGCTTATTAAACAGATATCAATCTGACAAATTCCCAAGTAATATTTATTTATTTGAACACATAGATATTGGTACAAGGAGGCACCAAATACATATGCACCACACAAATCTCATTTGATTTTTGCGAGGGCTGTGATACTGCCCGGGTGCCCAAACCGAAGCAGGTGGTTTTCTTAGGGGGCCACACCCCGAGCCTTCGACCTGAACGTCTGACCCACAAGGCAGTGGAGCATCGTAAGGAGATGCAGTCTCATGGTAGCCGGTGACCAACGATTAGTTTATACGCCATTTGTTCCTTCAGGATACTGGAGCCAATGTGCACCATTGGTTTCGAATCAGGGTTTTCCAACTCCCCTAGGTAGACTCTCCATGTTCACCGACCTGGTTAAAGCACCGGACATTCGCTTTTCGTCCCCTCAATTTCGTAAACAACACCACCGCTGAGAGAAGGTAGTGAGTAGGACTTCCCTGGAAGAGGCTGTATACGTGTGGCCATGTGAGAGCAATTCGAGAGGGCGAACCCACCCCACTCTTGGCCGTATCAGGGTATTTGGGGGGCAAGTAGACATCATTTACGCTGAAGTAGGTTCGATAACGTCTTGAAGGATTAACGCTCTATAAACGAAAGTAGATGTAACAAACTGAAATCAAGCTAGCTGATTGGTGGGATTTTTCATTATTTCATGCCCTGAAAAGTTATTTCAGTTCAAAATGATCTGACCTTTACGCCACTGAATCTAAGTATGCCCATTTTCACCCCTGTGTATGTCGAAGCAGTCTCTACAGAATTGCGAATGTAAACATTTACTTTATATATACAGGTTGAAACCCCTTCAAACATACCTGCCAGTGAACGGTTTGTAAAATACTGTGGTCTTCCTCGTTTCCAAGGTAGCGTGTGGCCAGCAGAAAAGAATTGGTTACCCAAACATTATCAAAATATCTCCTGGTATGCAAAATTTGTGGTTTACTACTGCTTTTGATAAATTTTTCATCTAACCGTAGATACGCAAACTGTTATTTTCATCTGGAAAATATTTCACTGGAATAATTGGTTCAGAGTTTTTCGCTTAGTATCGTGTCTTTACCTTCCTACTTGCCTAAATAAAAGTACAACAGTTAGTCCTCATTAAGCGTGTACAGTTGTCGCAGACTAGCTGTTAAAAGATAGATTTTGCTGTTGGATACATACCGAACTTTTTGTATAATCTATTCTCTATGTTCTGTAACTTCCGATTCTTATTCAGATGTCTTCAAATGATTAACCCAATAGTATCGCAAGTCCTTTATATATTAGAATATTTAGCTCTTTAAAAGATATTCACTGTATTTCTATTAGAAAATGCAACTTCACAATTATGGCTATTAATTTTAGAGTTATTTCAATGTTATGTATTATGTGATAGAAGTTTGGTCGTTAAAGTCATAATGACAGCGTGTCAAATATAATCGATTGTCATTTATTAATAAATTAAACATATGATAACTTCAAAGTCTCTCCTTTATATCGTAGTAATTGGGATTGTTTATAGTCTAAACGTGGTGAATAACTGGTACATTTACGGTATAATTAAACATTTTGTTTTGTGCTTAAATCTGTTATTGCCACACAATTCGATTTCATATTGCTTACCCCGAATTTGAGTTCTTGCTTATGCCTTGTCAGAGTTCTAAACTTATTGGGACTCGTATTATTTTGTTAGCTTATTTTATATTCACACTAAAACAACTGAAAAGCTGTGGAGCTAGATATTTCATTTATCTATCCAAATGAGAGTTACCAATTAGCTACCAATCGACTGTCTATTCTTTGTTTCTCGGAATTTTACTGCATTCTGCAAGATATGTTAATCATCTAAGTTGTTTGATTCTGGTGCACACAAAATCACTATATCGCTTAAATATCCGTTCTTAGTTCACAAACCTTGATTTTAATGCAGTATCAAAGTTATTGGGTTAGGACTGCGATATATTTTTTATTGAAGTTGACAAAAAAATATATCAGTGACCTATTTATTGTCCTCTTTTGTTTATCCAAAAGCTTCCGAAACTATCACCGTAATAGGCGTACTATGATTCGTTATATTGAGCAAAAATTAGCAGACTTTCAATCAGCATATAAATCAACAGGGAATGTCTTTAAGTACATTCCATCTGGTGTAGATGTCGAGCTTCTGCTGCAGCCTATTTCACGGGATCTTGGTGAATTGATATTGTCTCACCACACGTTACCTCAACCTAACGAAGCCAGAAAACCTTCTGATCCAAGACCTCATCCACTTTTAGTTTGGTCACTCTTACCTCATGAAACTCAAATGTCAGTCTGCCATTTTACAATGTTTCGGCGTGCTTCTGCTATCCACGCTGTTTCAGATTTGATGGTTATAGCAAACGCTGCAAATAAAATTACCGAGTCATTATCAAAAGAAAATGGGATTTGTGCATTAGAGCTTGGTGAGGATGCTTCAACACAAGTAGAACGAGGAGATAAATTAATACATGATGCCCTCATTAGTCACCGTTACAAAATCGACGAAAAAAAAAGTGGAAAAGCGCTATACGATCCAAAGATGCCTATACCTCTTGAAGCGGAACCGATTAAATCGAAAGATCTGATGCTTATTCAGGTAGAATTATGATTGTATGTACAATACTTTATATGTAATCATGAGGGTTAAAATGTCAGTATCGTTAGTTAAAATATAATATTGTTATTACCTTCAGTCGTTTGAGTAGTAACTTGAGTAAGTCACTGGATACAGTAAATCCTTCACCCTTAATGAACTCTTGGATAACGAATTGTGCGTAGTGAAGTTCCTTTGAGATAAGACTATTTCCTTTATTATTATTATTTGAACACATTAATATTGGTACAAAGAGGCATCGAATACATCTGCGCCACACAAGTCACTTGATTTGTGTGTGGGCCGTGGTACTGCCCGGGTGCCCAGATCGGAGCAGGTGGTTTCCTTAGGGGAGTCACACCCGGGGCCTTCGACATTAAGGCCTTATCCACAAGGCAGCGGAGCGACGTCAGGAGATGCAGTCCCGTGATATCCGGTGACTAATAATTGGTTCATACGCCATTTGTTCCCTCAGGATACTGGAGACCATGTGCACTTTTGGTCTGGAATCAGAGTTTCCCAACTCCGCATTGTATATCCTCCATATCCACCAACCTGTTTAAAGCACTGGACATTCGCTTTTCGTCCCCTCAATTTCGTAAACAGAACCCCCGCTGCGAGAAGGCAATGAGTAGAACTTCCCCGGCAGTGGCCAATGTAAGAGCATTTCGGGAGGGAGAACGAACTCTCCTCACCCTCGGCCGTACCAGAGCACTCGGGGGCTTAGAAATCCCTCAATGTATTACTCCCTCCAAATATTGACTGAAATTAGTAGTATTTTAGATGACGACACCTGTAAATATTTTTCTTTATTTGATAGTTTGCTATGTATGATATACTCGTCGCAATTTTTAGCGTTACAACCTTTCGTTAACTTTTAAAAGTACAAAAAACTTTCCATATTTGAGTCATTTGCATTAGGACTTTACTCTCTTATAATTGGACAAATTTGTTTTCAAATATTGTAGGCAATAAATACATGGTCTTTCACAACAGAGTCAAAGGGTGTCAGATTTTTAAATTAATTTTCTCAGTATTAACTTCAGGGTAGCGGCAATAGTTGCTCCTGTTTTCGAATGATGTGGGGCGTCTCTGACCAGTAGGAAGCGCTATATGGGCTAACAAAAAGAGTAGTTTGGAGAAAAACTGAGGAAAACAAAACAACACTTGACAACCACCCAATAATTCGTTAATAGACGGAGCTATGTTAAGAAGTACAAAATGACAAGGGGGCGTTTAATATTCGTAATCAGTTATGTTTAACTGTAGGTGACATGGCTAAGTTGATCATAGCGTTACAGATGTATTCATTTTCCATTACTGACGGTTCTCTAGATGTGTTGCTACTTTGGATTTTACTTAGAGTAACCATACTCTGTTTACAACCTTTCAGGCTGGGATTCGGCGTTTCGTGGCAGCTCCAATTTATTCTACACCAAGTAATCCTCGTGAAAAAGCTAGATTTGAGTCCTTTTTTCCTGCTTCAGAAAGTTCTACTGTAGCGACTGTTTATGCACCAGTGATGTATTCTCCTGTTAATGTTTTACAGTTTAGGATCAGAGTAACAGAGGTATTTTATTGATATATTTTTGTTTAATATCAGAAGGGGTTTTGTGGATATTGTAATTTTAATAGTTGAGATCATGAGTCAATGAGGAGTCCCATAGTAGGACGAAACGGCCGTCCAGTGCTTCCAGGTTTTCCATAGTGGTCTAGCTTCAATTGACTCATGATATCAACTACTAATATTTTTGTTTGTTGTATGAATTCATACTCTGGATTTCTATCCAATTCCAACCCTTAGTTTATGTATGAGTTCTGTGACAATAATATGAAAGCTTCAGTTTCATATTAGTAGCAAGTCCATCTAGATCCATGTTTTTTTTGTTGAAAAATATTAAAGAGAAAATAACCTGGCCACTTTTTACATACCAAGCTTCTAATGAAAACTAATTCTTATGAGGTTCAAACAATGTTCTAGAACTAAAACACGTTGAGTCTATATTTATTTATATTTAAAGCCCTTATTATGAGTCAATAAGTATGTGTGATTTCTGTTTAGAATATAGCCAAGAAGTGATCCATAGTCGTATATCGCACAGTTAATATCAAATAATAAAGTTGTATCTAATTTGGAGTCTACGTCACACCAACTGCTAAGTTCATTTGAACGACAGTGACTTCCTAAGGTAATCAGGATTTTTTGCGCAGTGTACGCGCTTAGCGATGAGACAGTTGATAATTTCTCCTCTGTGGTGTTGATATATGGGGACTTCGTATCAGACTCTACATTGTGCATGACTGAATACAAACCGTGAAGAGCCCCAACAACTACTAAATATATTGTAAAATCACTTAATCTCTGTTCACAACTAATCAGTAACAAGCATCATCTGTAGAACAGAACCAGTTGGACTAAATCGAAGCTGAAACCTCCCGTAGCAAAACTAGGAATAAACTGAATGGCAGTTCCCTCTAATTAAATTATACTATGCGTTACATTTGGTCATTTCCCAGCTGTTGCCATCACCAAACTTTAAAAGGCTATCATTTGACTCATTTATTTATTTTAACACATAGATATTGGTACAAGGAGGCACCAAATATATGCGCCACACGAATCTCAATTGATTTGTGAGGGTAGTGGTACTGCCCGGGTGCCCAAACCAAAGCAGGTGGTTTTCTTGGGAGGGCCACACCCGAAGCATTCAACCTGAAGGTATGATCCACAAGGCAGTGGAGCATCGTAAGGAGATGCAGTCCCATGGAAGCCGGTGACCAACGATTGGTTCATACGTCATTTGTTCCTTCAGGATACTGGAGTCCATATGCACCATTGGTTTGGGATCCGGTTAAAGCACCGGACATTCGCTTTTCGTCCTCTCATTTTCGTAAACAACACCACCGCCACGAAAACGCAGTGAATAGGACTTCCCTGGCAGAGGCTATATACACGTGGCCGTGTGAAAGCATTTCGAGAGGGAAAGCGGACTCTCATTTGACTCAACTAAAATGTTAATATTCATCTGCGTTTACAAAATCCCTTTGTTGCATACACTAGTGTTTGTTTTGTTGTTGACACAGTTGGACTAAGTTTTGGCACATTTACTTATTTTGTAGGATGAAGATGGGGAACTATCTTCACCATACGTCGGTGAATTGGTGGCAACAGGGTCTCTGAGATCAGTCGACCCCAACCACTTAATTATCAAGAGGATTTTTTTGTCAGGTCATCCTTACAAGATTAACCAGCGCCATGTAGTTGTCCGATATATGTTTCACAATCCAGCGGACGTGCTTCATTTTCAGGTAATCCTTTTTATCCTATACAGTTATCCCCCAACTTTGATATCGTATGTTAGGGGCTGAAAAACCCTTTCCTGATTAGCGCCTCGATTTAGAGAATTTATCATTCAGCTCAACAGCTGGTAAATAATTTTAATTTTCCTAGTATCTAACATGCTAGTCATCTTTTTAAAATGATTTTCTGATTGGTATTAAATTTGTGTCTGACTTTTCATTTCAGCCTATCCAGTTGCAAACAAAGAGCGGAGCTGTTGGGCATATAAAAGAACCTGTTGGAACCCATGGTCATATGAAATGCGTTTTTGACCGACCTATTCTAGCAAACGATGTAGCTTTAATGCCTTTGTACAAGCGAGTGTTTCCAAAATACGTTTACGAACCAGTAGTTTCTAAATACCTCACCAACAACGATAAAAGCAATGATTATATTGTCACTGACAGCGGTCACTCCAGATATGTGAGCTCAGATGTACTTCAACTAAGAAAAAAAAGTATTCCCAGTGCTTCACGGGAGAAAATGGACCAAGACGAATCAGCCTTATTTGCTTAATATAATTTGTAAATATTGTTCATACTTTTTTGCCGGATATTGCAAAACCGCTTAATAAATTTAACAGCCGTTTTGGACGTACAATTTTTGTTCCAGACAGCAGTGTTTCACAGATACCTATCCACAGTAAAACAGTCGAAAACTAGAGGTTGCATAGACTCAGACTTTATTTGGTTTTTTCTTATAAGCCAGCAAAGAGTACATAGAAGTAACTTCCCAATCAGATTTAGAAAGAGTTCCATATGTGTATGAATTGTTGTGCAAGCTATTTTGATGATCTATCAGATGAATATATTCGTCATCATTTGAGCAAGAATAGTTATTACTTTTATGCCATGGTTCTAAAGCTTCCATTCTCTTGAGCAAATCCTTTGGATCTTGTGGGCTTGAACGGTTGCGTAACGTAGAATAAAAATTCTTAGCGAAAGAGATAGGTTCATGTACGGGTACCAATCCGTAATCAGCTGCCAACCTATCCAAGAGCGGTGGGTATACTACAAATTCAGGGCAATTTACGACTCCATCCAGGAAAAAGTTGTACTTTGCACCAAATAAAGGAAATGTCAGTTCAACCGCATCTTTCGTTTGGGTTGTTATTCGATTGATTGAGAATGAATCTTTGGGAAATGTGACTGAATATACGGGGTTTCCAAACTTAATTTCTTTAATATCAGATTCCGGAACTTGTTTTTGTACATGTTTGTTTAACGCTTCTGTAGCTCTCCGCAGAAGTTCGTAAGCATTTGGGATCGTTGCAATGAAAAAGCCATTTTTTCGTAACAGAGAGCTGATATTTGACAAAATTCTACGTGCCTGTAAAGACAGTAATATAAATACAAAGGAGAAATTAGAGTAAATTATGTTGAATTGGGTAAATAGGGACTGTTACAACAATTATCAAAACACATTGTCAGCCTCATTTCGGACTACGCTTATGCTACTCAGTATAGGCACAATCGTGCTATACAGCCATAATATATGTAAAATGTCTAGCTCAGTGTGCCTTGCGGATCTGAATGAGAAGCGTCACAATATGCATTAGAAACTATGTAGTAGTAACCAGACAATCTTTAGATGAAATCCAACCACTGAAACTTCAATCGGTCGTCCTGAATGCAGTTTACGGTTGCTAAATCGACCCCACAAAAGTTTGTGATTCTAGCGCTATGACCTTAACACTATTCACTATGTGGCCTCATCATAAGTAGGTAATTTCACGAATACGCTTCCTAAATAGTACCAATGACGCCAGTAGTTCAGTCAGTTACAACGTAGGACCAGGCACATATGGCATCGGTCCAAGTTGCCACACCTTATTAGCACAGCAAGATGAACACCAAATTCATAGAAGCAATCAACTCAATGGTGCAATATGTTAAGGCGAGATTGCATATAAGGATATAGTACAGTAGGAAAGAACTAGTTCGTAAAAAGAAAGATATGAAATAATTTTAGTCTCATAGTCTAAGGGAAGACTGTGTATGCACCTACGACACTGTTATCGATTCTGAGTCAAGTCTCTAACCATTGGTTACCAGTCACGCGGACCCCAACCAAGCGGTCTGCGTCTACCAACATGGCTCAGACTAGAAGTTAGTGACTTCAAGCATTGATGCTACGTTTTGGTTTGGTCGTCCACAACACCATTTAGCATTGCGCGTTGTGATAATCGATGTTCAACGTCATAGTTTAAATCTTAGTCCTAGAAAGACAAATGTTAGAAAGCGAGCATCATTCCTATTTTTAAAGGAGGCTAATGAAATGATCCCTCAAACTATCGGGGGATAACCCTACAATACCTTCAAGGGTTATGGGATCTATGGTTTACGAAAGCCTATTATTTGTTAATTTTACTTTGCAGCTGAACAACCGTCCCAGGAAGTGTCACTCCTGCCTTATCAATCTGCTGAATGTAACCAACGATGAACTACCGTTTCCAATCTCAAGGGGGAAGGTGGGTGTAATACACCTTGATTTGCCTACAGTTTTTGATAGGGTCAACTACACATGTTTCGTCAATAAGTTCAAACAGGTAGATACCGTCGCATTTTACCAGGCTGTGGGGATGTCCTAATGCAGCAAGGACAAAAACTAGCGCTTTAGAAGAATCTGACCATACTCCAGAGTTAATGTAAACAACAACGGGCTTCTTTTCAACACTGAGATGCAAAGTAGACCAGCTGCAGTATTTTGTCTGCTACGCAAACAACTTTGACAATTTCCCTCTAAAACGGTCAGTGGTTAGAACAGATCTAAATGTCTAAACAACTTATGATCTAAAATCTAGTACTGACCGTCGCGAAAATTCTCTTGGAGTAAACCTTGCGTTGGTGGCTTCGGAGTCCATTGTGACCAGTTTAACCAATTAACCTACTCAATCGTCAAAGTGTTCACTCGACTCCAGTTAGAGTAAGGTAGTGCTTACTTCAGTTAAGAAAAGCCTTCTGAGCCGTGACCAAAAACATGTCAGTTTAGGGAACCAAATCCAGGTCTTGAAACGGGCACACCGAATCGTTACTGAGAATAAAGGAGAACTAACAATTCAAAACATCATAAACACCCCTAACCATCCTACAGAAGACCTGTTTAAGGTCAGTTACGACACTAACCTTGGTAAAAATATCAGGAAGTTAAAAGTACAGAACAGGCTGGACTGTAGGCACACTTGCCCGTTACGAATAGCCAGGATTTAAGATTTGCTATCAGCCGAAGTGGCATCCGTGGAGTCCTTCAAGTGGAAACGTGACAATTTTAAGTACACAGTGCAGTACTTTACGTTAACTTGTCAATTCTTCTAACACTTTAGTTTGTTTTATGCACCTACGTTCCTACCTGAAGAAACTGGTGATCCCTTGCTTTTAGGCGTGGAAGCTCTTTAAGTGAAACTTTCTGTTCCATCTGCAACCATCCGAACTATGTACGTTGGTTCGACCACTATGAGATGACAATGGTCTGAACATGACTATAAATTGCTGGTTTATAGAAACTAATTCGCGATGATCACGTTTTGTAAGTCTTGCTCAATGTAGAACCAGAAGTGTTCACATGAATAACTGTTAGACAATCAGAGTTCTTCAAAAGATCCATGGATGAAGTGCACAACAGCCTGTGCAACGACTTGATGAATACTCACACTTTTGTACAAAAAGTATCAGAGATCTGCTATCTGTAAGTACAAACTCCTGAAGAAAGTCTGCTCAATTCGTGAATATAAAGATTATCACTGAATCAGTAAATTAAAAACGCAATTTCCGATAGATTAATTGGTGTTCATTAAAATACTGTGATATCACAACACACTTGACATCTTCAAGTACAAAATAGTTTGAGGTGGACGATATAGACCAAATCTTCTAAAAATAAATTAGCAAATTACCTGAGCTATGCTCTCAAAAGCATAGTGAAGTGCGAATTGACAACTGACTAGATCATATAAGACACCAAACGGAAGCACTTGTGGAAGTATAGCTTCTGAGCAGTCCGCCACAAAAAAGTCTGCAGTGAAAACAGACCGTTTATTTCTACACAGTTGTTCATACCGATGACGACAAACCTCAATAGATTCATTGGATAAATCCACAAAAGTTACATGTTGAACACCGCCGCGTAACCACTTTAACTGGTCCCCACCCTTACCACAGCACAGATCTAATATTCGAGCGCGATTGCAGGGAACATCTAGGCTTTGAAGACTCTTACTGATGAAAACGCTTTTCATCCAGTTGTTAAAGTTCCTCAGATAAAATATACGAGTTTCTCTTCTCTTGATATGAGAATTATTTTCATCATTGCGTGCAGCTGCATCGTAAAAGCTAATGACATCTTTGCGATTTGAATTCTCGGCCATTTGAGATAACGCGCGCAATGAAGCTAAATCGGCAACTAGTTTACCAATAAACATCCTTAACAATAAGATATAAAATCATTGCTTTTGTGCCTGTGCCTGAAGTTTTGACATGTATTTATTAGAGAGATAGATAAACTACCCATGATAACTCTTAGGAGGTCTGCAGATGGAAGTTACGTACTCAAATGGTTCGAATGTTTGTGGACTTAAAAGAAGAAACTTTCGCTTAACGGCTTCCGTGTCTAGTAGCAATGGATCACCAATACATCCATGCAGGAACCTAGGCATATTAACGATAAAAGAAGAAAAACAAATTGGTAAAGCATAGTATGATATTATACTTAGTCTATAAGCATATTTCAAGTTTCCTCTTTGAGGACTCCTAAGTGAGTGAATCCGAGACGAGCAGAGTGGAACAATCCTTCCAGCACATTGTTGTCATACTCGATGTCAGCAGTTGGCTTTCTGTATTTGACTGCAACTAGACACTTTGAGGTGGTAAACAATCTTACTGAGCACTCTACGGATTCATCAGGATTGATAAACTCTTGGTTGTGCACTTGATGTACCTCCAGATAGGATCATAAGTGTAACTCCACTCCACCCCCAATTCCTGTTTTTTTGTCGTTGAGAAACAAGGAAATCCCAGGTACTGCTAGCTCCTGGTCCGTAAACTGAGAAGATATCCAAGTTTCAGATATTCGTATCAGATGAACCTTATTAGAATTGCTGAGTTCACGTAGCTCACTCATTTTGTCTGGTAGACTTGCGGCGTTCATGTATAAGCAGTTCATGCCTTCAGTTTGAAACTCATGAGCTTCTTCTTCCCGTTTGTCTTTATGAGCCTTACGTGAATGGACAGGTAGCCTACACACAAAAGGTTTTCCGAGTTGACAGCCCCTGTCCTTTATACGTTTTTTATGATCAAGTCAGTTCACAAGTGGAATGGTCTGCTCCAACTTGCCTTTGTGCTTGACCCTAGCGATATGTGGCCTGTTCGGATGCACATGAATTCGACTTGGTAACCGACATCTGTCGGCACGAAATGCTTCCAGGATTGCAGCCGCCATATGTGAGAATGGGAAAGTTATCTTCATTAGCCGGGGTCTAGAATCCCCGACATTTTTGGTCAGTCTTATCACTTGTTAAGTCTGTATTTTTTTGAGCCTCAAGGATTGTTTGGTGGATTTTCATTCCCTACTGGCATGCCTCATGTAACAAACTGTTATTTGAGAATAAATTATTATTATCAGAGTTTGCGTGATCAGGGTCAACGTTTTTAAATACATCTTGCACAATGATATTTCTTCTGCAGACAAACTTTTCGTGAGATTACTTAGGGATATTCCGGATGTGATCGCGCTCGGAATGCGGTATGTCAGGCAGTATTCTTGCGTTCCCGTGTGATTCCAGTGAGTGACTAGCTAGTAAGATATATTCTACGTCTGTAACATTCTTGAGTGTTACATGAAGTAGCCACGAGTGGTTTTGATTTTTAGATTCCTTTAACTAAGTGAGCCGTGTGACCGTCAAATTCTCTATTCCGGAAAGTTCTAGCTTCTTGTTCAACTGTTCCCAGAGCATTCTGTCATGTTTGCGCTGCAAACTGGGGGAAGGTCAGGGTTGTCTTTCAGGTCCATGATTATGAGAGAATCATCACGAACCATTATTGTTTTCCCAGATTTACGGGTGCGTTCAGGCTGAGGACCTTGTTAGTTTTAGGTCGAAGCACGTTTCTGAATCCTGGGCTCTTTGCTGACCGGATGGACATTCTTAGTGTTAGACTGCGTGATCAAATCATCAGTTGATTTCCGCACAAAACTCGGGATGTTCAGCTTCTTAAAAGGTGACCCCTGGTTCTTTTTGACTTTGTTAACTGAGGTCCAATCACCTACAGAGTTTTTGGGAACCACTGTTAAATTCCGGGATCCTGTGCTGGGAGATTGAGCTCTGCTGAGGGAGTCTGTTAATGTCGATGTCAGAATGTTACTGACTTTCATCATACCCTTGCCAGTGTTACTACATGCTTCATCGATAATATCAATGTCCAGTTCCCTCTTCTTGTTTTTGTTGCGTGTTTTTGTTTGTCTACCCGTTTCATGACTGTCTTTTTTCAAGTTTGCTGGCAACTAATTCATCAGACCTGTCAATAGGACAGTGATGTTGCTCAGCAAAACTTTAGCATCCGTGTTGCACATGACACATACCCACCTATGTTCTGACCTATTGAGTCTGTTGTAAGCAGTTGCTTTGAGACCTGTGCATGCTTCATGGAACCGACCTTTGTAGTTGTTGCACTGCATGCCAGATGTAATAACAAAACGGCGCCTGTTAGTTTTCACGAATTTTTCATGACTATGGTTATGCAAATTGTTTTATAGATCCTAGCAATAGCCTAAGACCTCAAAAAAAACAGTACACTAAAAACGGGTAAAAATTTATATAAACGGGTGGTGCAAAAGTTAGGATAAACTGAAACTAACCTTGACGTGACAAACTGAAAAACCGAACTCAAAAAGAAAAGTAATCTACCAAACAGATTCTTTAGATCAGAAATGGTACTTTTGTTGCGTAAGAACATAGAAAAAGTTCGAGAGATGCAAATCAATTTAGCACAAAACGTCCCGTTCTTAATCTTGGTCTCGGACTTGTGCTGTGAGGATTTAAGGCCAAAGCTTCTATTCATGTCTGTTTCTCTACTTAATAGGTCAGTTGAATTTATAGACAACACTTTTTGAGGTTATTTGTATCAAAAGTTAATTATTTAGTGAGGATACTTTTTCACATGAGAATTCTGTTTGTTCTTGTCTCCTGAACAACCCTGTTATGTCCACTGGGTCATCACGACATAACTGAAGGGTCTTTGTAAATGGTCTGACTAGTCTGTTAGGCTATGCACTGTAATGCATTTCTTTAATAGCTTTCTTTATCACTTTTCATGATTTTTACACCGAATTTAGATATGTTTATTGGTCAATAACTCATGAAACTGAGTATGAATCCTGTTTTGTAATTGAGATTGCCCCAATTCATCCTAACCTACTAGAACTACACACTTCATTAGTCGCGTTGTGGAAACCGTATTGAGCAGAGGAGATGTGTCTATCATATTTCATCTTAACATTCAAGAGTGTGACTCATTCGGTCTTGTTGATTTCCCGTATATGAAGAAATTAATACTTTTACCATATCGCCTTGGTTGATGCCTACTGTGAGTAACCGGTTGCGTTACACTGTTTCTAAGGCTAAACATATGTCACTAGAAGGCTTATAAGTGAAGAAGGACCCGAAGTAGCTGTCTATGACCCCTATGTTATCTTTTTCTGAAACGAATAACCATAATAAAGAGATAATCTACTGATGTGTACTTCTTCCCTTATTAATGTACGGGAACAATCGCTTTGGATGTTTGAATGTAACTTTGTTCTGATAAATACAGATTATGATTACGTTACAGAAACGAGTATAGGATTTTGTAGATAATCCAGGGCCAAATGGTCGTCATCGTTTTGAAGTTTTCAATGGTTATATAGATTAAATCAGTTCGTGGTTTAAACTACGGAGATTTAGAGACAGACGCTTTCACTTCAATAGGCTCTAAGGCAAGAAAGGTTGAATGGTTCGGTTGTATGCATTTTGTAAGTAACTATTCAATCAACCTGCCACGGTCAAGTTTCAACCCTTTCAAAGGCTACAGAGTTGGCTGCTTTCATATTAGCCTTCTACATATCAGGGTTAGCAGGTGTATCTGCTTAGAAGTTCAGCTCGATATTGAACCTCTATCAATACCCAGATAAGAGGCATTTTTCGGTGATCAATCATTAAAATTAATGACTTAGGGAGCCTTGTTTAAGATGTCCTCTTCATATATATTTCTTAAAATACGGTTATTTACTCTTTTAGTGATGCATATGAATAGCTACAACCAAGGACATCTGTATAATTGAATCATCAGCTTTTGTGGTACAGCCCAAACACTGATATACCATTAGCGTACTAAATAAACCAACTGCTCTTGCAATCACAGTCAGCTCCCCATCAGAAAACCATTTCAATGGCAACAACTCGTGCCACAGTACCAGAAGCAAATATCACATAGATGAAGAAAAAAAGGCAGTTAAGAGAAGAAAATTTTCATTTAAGATGCAACAACGCATTGAAAGAAGTAAGACAGGAAGGTGCTAGGCATCTAAAAAACCAGAAGTGGTACGCTGTCATGACTTCAAAATCGAATATTAAAGGTTGTGTAACAATTGGTTAGTGAAAGAATGGTAGGTTAAAAACAAATGTCCACTTGATATCCAATAAGAACAGATATTGTAATAATTGCTAGTTAACAATTGTGAAAATAATTGAAAAGGGATACTCACATGCGCTTGTTATCCCTTACCCAGGAATATCAACCACCCACAAGCATTCTGCATCCAACTCTGTACTGGGAAATTCATTCCAGGACAACAGAACAGGACACCCCCGACCAAGATTATCCCGAAAATTCACGCAAACCGGACAAACGTTTCCCCGAAATCGGGGAGATTGAAAAGTTACAAAACAACAGTTGACCCAACGTGTGCACTACAAGACTGAGAAGGCTAAATCAATGTTCTCCGCGATGATTTTGTGGTTTTTCTGCAGCAAACGACCACTTAAATATGAGAACACTTGATATTCGTGCAAACCAACGGACAGCCAATAAACCCACAGCAATTGGAATGCGGAATGACCACCTCTTGTGAGGCCGTTCAAAGTCGTTGAAGAGAAACATCGGGCGGCTTTCAGAGGATCTGACGTTTTTCCCATTCCATCCCTCTATGTGCACCATATTATCAAAGAAGGCTCCATAAGGTTCTCCTATCCACACTATCAAGTTCTTTCTCACTGTCATGGGTGTTGATGTTTAATGACGAATTCCATTCAATTCTTAGTCCTACGATTATCAGTATTTTCGCGATTTATTCTATTCACGATTTATCCCTACGTAACCCGGCCTGTCAACCTCAAGTTTTGGCATCT